TCAAGAAACGTGTCCCTCCTTAACTGAACAGGATATTGAGCGAGGAAACAAGAAGAGAGAAATGGATGATATGCGACGAGAATACATTAAAGAGAAAGGATACAAAGTGGAAGAAATGTGGGAGTGTGAGTGGTGGCAAATTTTCAAAACCAATGACAAGATCAAAAATCATGTTCGAACCCACTTTCCCTACAAAAGACCCTTTTCTACAGACTCTCTTCTAGCAAAGATAAAAGATGGATCTCTTTTTGGTTACGTTCAGTGTGACTTAGTTGTTCCAGATGAACTGAAATCGAAATTTGCGAATTTTCCTCCAGTTTTCAAAAACACTGAGGTTGGAAGAAACGATATTGGTGACTATATGAAGAATTATGCTATTGAAAATGAAATGTTGAAACATCCACAGAGAATGCTTATATCTAGCTTCAAGCTAGAAAATGGAACAGTTATAACTCCTCTCTTCAACTTTTATTTGGAACTTGGCTTGCAATGCATCAAAATTTATCGTTTTGTTGAATATTCTCCTCGGAAATGTTTTAATAATTTCGTTCAGTCAGTGGTTGATGCTAGAAGAGAAGGAGATGAAAACCCTCTATCAGGAGTCGTAGCAGAAACAATGAAGCTCTTGGGCAATTCCTCCTATGGATATCAGATCATGGATAGATCCAGGCATACAATCACGAAGTATCTGAACGATGAAAAATTTCACAAGGCAATCAATGAACCACTGTTTAAGAGACTTAACACAGTTGAGAAGGACTTATATGAGGTGGAGTTATTGAAGTCAACCATTGAGCACAGAGAACCCATCATTGTTGGTTTTTTCAGACTTCAGTATGCAAAACTGAGAATGTTGGAACTCTACTACAACTTTTTTGACAAGTTCTGTGATGTAAATAAATTTGAAGAGTTGGAGATGGACACAGACTCACTTTACTTGGCACTTGCAGAAGAAAATTTGTACGATTGCATCCAACCAGATAAGAGAGCTGCTTGGGAAAAAATGAGGGAGAGTGATTGCAGAGATTCCTTCAAGGCGGATGCAAAATCTAATTTCTTTCCTCGAACGTGTTGTAGTATCCATAAAAAACATGATAAGCGGAAGCCGGGACTTTTCAAAGAAGAATTTAGGTGCACAGAAATGCTCTGTTTATGTAGTAAGACATATTGCTGCTATGACAACAAGTCAGACAAATTCAAATTTAGCAGCAAAGGATTGAATAAGCGGGTTCTAGAAGACTCTGGAGATGGACCTTTAACAAAGTATAGGAGAGTACTCGATGAAGCTATCAACTTAACATCTACTAATAGAGGATTCAGAACTATAAATCATATGGTTGCTACATATGAACAGACAAAGAAAGGACTAAGTTATTTTTATCCTAAAAGACAAGTGCAAGATGATGGAATTCATACAAAACCATTGGACTTATAAGAACTCTTCTGATGTAATAAATTATTTAAGATGTCGTATTATTATGGTGTTTCATGATAATAAAATGTAAATTATTGCGGTAAACTTAATATACGATGCAGTGATTTATATATTTTCATTCTAATTTATTTTTCTTTCTCTCAAAAAAATCAATTTTTTTTCGAAGTCTCTGTAGGTTCAGACTAGATTCAGATAGGTAGAAAGTAAAAGTATCTAATAATTTTTTATTAGATCAAATTAAACAAAATCTTATCGTGTTTTGAATTTTTTCGAAAAAAATTAATTGATAAAAAATCCAAGTTTTTGCACAAAAACTCTTACCATTGACTTACCATGCACCAAAAAACTAAATGCATAATCTTAGTTCTACAATCTACACGTAATTAACAATTAATTGTTCCCAATTAGGTAACGCGCGCCAAAAATTTGTCCAAAAAATTTTTGTCAAAGTTTTTCCAAATTTTTTCCCAAAATTTTCTCCAAAATTTTTCCCGACACAACATTAATACATGGGAAACCTATAACCTATCTTAATACATAGGAAATCTATTCCCAATCTTAATACATAGCATGGCGGACCGGAAATCTATAACGTATCTTAATACATGGGGTCCGCCATGCACCCCCCCCCCCCCCCCACTTCGGCTCCAACATCTACTACTGCTATCGGAGTTTTGCAATTTATGTTTGTCTTGATGATGACAATTTAAATGCTTTTGTTTCGATGTGTATGGACGTTATTATCTGAATTGTCGTTTTGACTTTTTTCATTTTTTAAAAATTTCTATCAGATTTTTTCTATTCTTTGTAGATATGTCCGGTTATCTGCTGCTTTATGCTGGTTCACCTGTTGTAGCCGATTTATAGGGGTGCTATCACTATAAGTTTCGTCGTCAATGATTTTGTTCTTTGATTATCATCAGTTCTTGCTTGATTTATGAAATATATGCTTCTAATCTATTGCTACTACTTAGTAGTTTTTTTTCTGCAACCTTTTTTTCAACTTTTTGCAAGTTACAAAATTTAACATAAACTCCACAAAATTGGTGATTCACAAACGAAAACGATAATTGAATCAGAATTTGATTTTTAACCTGAACCATGAAACTCTTCAATAACTATCAAGAAACCGTATTACAGGCAAACTATATTTTGGAGACAAACTATCTTTTAAATGAATTGTCGTCCAAGACAAAAACACAGTATAATTGAAAGCAGAGATAACAGCGTAAAAACGCTCAAAACAAATAAATATAATTATTCAAACCTCTAACACCAAAGCTCTGTGCATAAAAACAACGACAAGGAAACATGAAAAAAAAATTCATATGTCTGGACATCAAAGCTCTCTGCATAAAAGCAACGGCAAAGATGCAGTTCGTCTAGACGCAAACCACAACAAAAAAATTTAATTACAAGATACCAAAAACCTACCAAAATCCTGAGAATAGGCAAACTGGAAGAGTTTATAATGATCAACTTGATAGAAAATAACTTCCAATGTAAAACAATAGAATTTAATCAACGTAAACAATTAAAAACAATTCAGAGCTTGATACATCTGAAACGAGTACACATTAACTAATCGAAGATATATTCCAGATACCGCTCTAATGACGATTATAAAAATACACAAGAAACACAATCAAGAAGCATTAATTAACCAATTGAAGAAAAAAACGTTCTTCAAGTAAATGAGAAAAGTATTCGTAACGAGACTAATGGAGCTTGGATAGTATCTTTTTGTTGGAAAAACCAATCAACTAAAAAGACCAAAACTTAACCACCAAACTAGTAAAATGTTTTTAATTAGATTCCGGAGCAGAATTAAAAAAATCAGAGCAACATGGAATGACAGACCACAAGTTCTTTCTATCAAAAAAATCAAAGCCTAACACAACGACCAGCCAGCGCACAAGGATCAAATTTGCAGTCATTTGGAAAAACTAGGTGCTACTTTTCACCAACAAAAACAATGAAAAAATTAATATAAAGTTTTTCAAAAACATGTTTTAGAATTTTTCTACATACGTTTACTACACAAATAAAAACTTACAACAAAAACTTGATGAGAAACAAATCAATTTAGAAAAAACAACAGCTCATTAACATTTTAACATTAAATAATCATCGATTAAAAAGTAGTAGACACATGATACTTAAAACCGTTTGCAGTTGAATCTAAGAGCAACCAGCCAATAGAATCAATCCAGATTGCTCTGGGAAAAATTAAATGAAAATCAATAACTGAAAAAAACAGAGCATACAAAAAGCCAATATATGAAGTATTCAATCGCATTTAAAGATATCATAGAAATTGTTGAGGTCAGACCATCTGAAGGTCAGACAGATTAATTGAATCATAATCAAAACTGATTAAACTCAGACAAGGTCAGCTAGTGATCTCAAACTAATTTATTAGTCTGTAATTAATTAACTGGTACTTTGGTGATGCTTAGTTTGTCATGTCATTTATATTCACTTCTTTCAATTCATTATTCAACAATCACTACTTCTGCTCGATCCTCAGTTCAAACCTCAGTTTCTATCTCAGTCTCTAACCCCAGCTCTTAATCCTAGTTGCTCTAACTCTGAATGTTGACAAGTTATGGACCCAGATTTCTGATTTTTTTTCTTGTATCACTTTTCTGTCAGAGTTTTTAGCTTTTTGCTAGTATCCTTAAGCAACGATGGACTTGAAACTAGCGGCTTTTAGTGGAAAGTCTGAAGATTTTACTTCTTGGTCGACGAAGTCTGTGGCGCTGATGCACACCAAGGACCGGTTCAGGACAGTGATGGACAATGATGATCTGCCAGTGGCTGCCCCGAGAGTCTGAATGCTGATCAGCAGGCATCCTATGATGCCAAGATGCCGGAGCGAGCAGTGTTGATCCAGCAGAGGAACGACAATCGAAACACGGTGTGGTCCCACCTGGCTCTGGTGCTCAACAACACCACTTTGATCTTTATAAAAAAACGACTGCGTGGGAACATATGGCTATGGCGATGGGACTAAGGCTTGGAAGCTGCTTCGAGACATGTTTTGCAGTGTAGAGAGGCCAACGGTGGTCATTCTAGTAGGTCAGCTTGCGAAGCTGCGCCTAGGATCAGAGGAGGATCTGGACGGCTACTTCTGTCGCAGTCAAGAGCTGATGACGCGGTTGAGCGAAGCTGGAGAAGCAATCACGGACATTCTGTTCAATGATTTGGTCATCAATGAGCCAAGACGAGGTTGAGAGCTGAGAACGAGGTTGAGGTACCACGATGACTCGAGGAAGGTTCGATATGGAGAGAGGACTGGACATGATCATAAAGCCATGCAAGCTGTGAGGAAAAAAAGGGAGTGTCAAGTAGTGGCTGCTATGTGTGCGGTCAGAAGGGTCATATGGTGAGGGACTGCAAAGGTGACAGCGGACAATCCAGTGCTCGAGGCTGTGGGTCGAACGAAGCAAGTGGGCCAGGAGCAAAGATGCAAGGGTGCTTCAAGTATGGGCAACCTGGACATTTTGCAAGGAAGTGCAAGTAAGGGAGGACAGGGTTCTTCTTTTGTTTTGCTGCAACTTCAATGAAGGGAGAAGACCTCCTTGTGGATACGGGATGCACTGATCATGTAGTGCGCGACAGGGCTGTCTTTTCTAGCTTTGAGAGCTGGAACGAAGGTACAACCGTGGAGAGCCCCAACGGCACGCTGTCAAGGGTTCAGGGCAAAGGATCAGTGCAAATGCAGATCAGGGAGTGCCATGATGCTGTTAGGAGATACACTTTTCACACTGTGCTGTTTGTGCCGAGGTACAGTGTAAACTTGATGATTGTGAGCTCAGCTGTGGCTAGAGACTCAAGCTTCACTTTTGCCGCAGATGCGTTACATCTACTGGCACCAGATGGGGGGCAGCTACCTGTGAAGCAGCGCGGCAAGCTTTTCTTCCTTGAGTGCAAGTTCAACAGAAACCCGATGACTCTAGTGACGAAAACAAGAAGGGATACCAGTGATGCAATGTTGTGGCACCGACGACAGGGACACCTCAACCAGCAGGATCTTTCATCGCTTGTCAATGTGGGCGAGCTAGAGTTCTGTGGAGTTTGTACAGCTTCCAAGATGCATGAAGTAGCAGTGCCTAAGAAGACTGACAGCAGAGCATCGGCATTGGGGCAACGGGGTTTCAGTGACATTTAGGGACCATTTGGAGTACGAGTATGTATGGTGCAGGCTATGCCTTGAGCTTCATCGACGAATTCAGTCGGCAGGCTGTGGTCAAGTACCTGGTGAAGAAGAAAGGTGATCTACTGAAGTTTCAGGAGTTTGTGGCTGAGCATGGAGCACCGAAGTGCCTGCGAACTGACAACGTAGGTGAGTATTCGTCAAAAGCATCTGGGAGATTTTGTAGAGAATTCCAGGTTAAGCAAGAGTTCACTGTGCCCAACAGAAGGGTGTAGCAGACCGCTGCAACAGAGTGATCACCGAGATGACTCGATGTCTGCTGGCCAAAGCAAAGCTACCGAAGATGTTTTGGGTGCGAGCAACGTCGACAGCTCTGAGGGTTCCCAATTTGTGTCCCACATCCAGCAACGAGAAGCGCCTTTCACCGATAGAGATGCACTATGGGCAGCCATCAAAAGTGAGCTATTTGCGTGTGTTCGGTTGCCTTGCGTACTATCTGGATCGAGGCAACAGACGGAAACTGGATCCAAAGGGCAAGAAAAGCAAGTTCATCGGCTACGACGAGAACAGCAAAGCCTACCTGCTCATGATTCTAGAGGCAAAACGAGTGGTGCGAGCAAGAAGCGTGACAGTCAATGAGAACATCATTCCAGATGACTTCATGGTTGACAGCGAGCCATTACAAACCCTGGAGCTATCAGTCGAGGAGTGCATTGATAATGAGCAACCAAGCACAGCGAAAACCAGCGAAGCACGAAGCGCGCCAACTGAGGGTGATACTGGAGATTCAGTGGGGGCTACTGAGGAAAATCAGGTCGAGAAGGAAGCAATAGAGTCCCATTGTAATGATCATCCAGTGCAAAGGTCCGTTAGGACAAGGAACCTAATCATTTGATACGGACTGGCCCATGCTTCAGTTACTGGAATTCAAGAGCCAAGGGGCTATTCAGAAGCAGTGTCTGGACCCGGAAAGGAGCAGTGGCTGGCAGCAATGGCTGTAGAGTTGAAGTCACTAGAAGCCATGGTAACATGGGCACTTGTTGAAAGACCACAATCTCGAAAAGTTAATTCTGGACGATGGGTTCTTGCTAAAAAAGAGATGCAATGGGACAAGTTGAGCGGTTCAAAGCCCGAAATGTAGTGAAAGGGTTCATGCAAGGGGAAGGACTTGGTTTCAATGAGACGTTTCCTCCAACCTGTAAACCCTAAACAAAGAGGATACTGCTGGCTCTGGGGGCACAAGATGATCTTGTACTTCATCAGATGGATGTTAAGTCAGCCTTCCTCAACTCTCCTCTAGCACAGACAGTGTACATGGAGCAGCCAAAGGGTTCAGCAGCGGTGACAACCAAGTGTGCTTGCTACAAAGATGTTTCTACGGGCTGCAGCAGGCAGGAAGAGATTGATATCAGACGCTCAGCACTTTCTTGCTTGATGAAGGGTTCACTAGAAGAAGCAACGACCTATGTTTGTTCACGATGAGGAGAACAAACGATGCAATGATTTGTGTGCTGGTTTGGGTAGATGACATCATCATTGGGTGCAGATGTCAAGACGAAGATGACAAGCTGAGGAGCCGTTTCTCCTAACGATTCACGATAGACGACAGAGGCGCATTGTCCTGGTTCCTGGGAATGCAGGTGAATGCAGGCGCACAGCTGGAGATTTGGATGATAGAAGGTCAACTACTGGTTTCAGCTTTCATTTGCAGAAGGCAGGGGCAGCAAATATTTGGAGCACCAGGAAACAACCAACGGCAGCCATATCTACCAGTGAGGCTGAGTACCAAGCAATGGCAGCAGCGGCTCAAGAATCTCTATATCTGCAATCACTTCTCCATGAGATGGGCGTAGTTATTGACGGAGCAACCTTCATCAAGGAGGACAACCAGAGCTGTATCAAGATGTGCAAGAATCCTGTGATGCAGAAGCGAACGAAACACATCGATGCGAAATATCACTTTGATCGAGAGCGAGTGGAAGATGAGATAGTTGATCTTTAATATTGCCCAACTGAGTTCATGGAAGCTGACTTGTTGGCAAAAACCCTGAGCAAGGCTAAGGTGGAACAGCATCACCTAACCTTGATAGGTTGCAGCCTGACATTAGACAAAGCCAATTCAACCTGATCGGGGTGTTGAGGTCAGATCATCTCAAGGTCAGACAGATTAATTGAATCATAATCAAAACTGATTAAACTCAGACAAGGTCAACTAGTCTGTAATTAATTAACTGGTACTTTTTTGAATTAGCGCAACAGAATGACGACCATCTTCAATCATCAGAAATACAATGAGATTTAGCAATTTTTTTTGTCTATAGAAATATGTTTTCAAACTGCAATAGAGCTGAAGGATTTTTAAAATACACTACCACAACAAAAAATTTGAATGGACAATTCAACAGGTTTTGAAAATAAAATCAGCTAAGACTGAACAAACTTTAAATTTATTCGAATGTTCATCGCTAAATCCAGATTCTCTAGCGAAACAGAACTACGACTCTCCACGCTATTAAAAGAACGCACAGCAATTGAATATGCAGTTATTAGTTCAATTTTTTACGTATGAAAAAAACTCATCACCATATACGAAAGTCCCATCCTAAGTTTTTGTTTTTACGCAAAACATTTTCAAACCAACACTTTTACAGAATCTAATAAAAATTATCCAAACTTCAAAATTCACATATAGTTCAAACTGGAGGAGAATCCTTAGTTTTACGCAAGCCATAAAATAAAACGCGAGCCCTGCCTGGATTTAGGAAAATAACAGTACAAATACCAAAAAATATTAATACTTCTCTCCAAAGATGAAACATTGCCACAAATTGACAAATTGAAATGCAGCGAAAATAGTTGAAACAAAATGAATCACTAGCATAAAACACTTCAATCAATAAAAATAATGTCATTGTAATCACTATCAATTTGATTCCGCAGTAAACACTACAATCAAAACCATAGATATTCACCAATGGGAAAAATAACGCAAAACTTAAACTAAATAAAGATTAATTCAAAAAATGAGTGCCGATGAGAAAAAATCAAAACATAACCGTTGGTAAAAAAAACTCAATAGATCACTTTATCAAGATTTATATTTCAATAAATTATTTGAATATAAAGAACTCATTGAGTATGTGCCACTAAAGCAAGGAAAAAATATTTTCTGGAAGGATCATTATCCTTGTCTCAAAATATTATCCCATTTTAGGCCAACTGGAATCATGATATCAACACAAGACTAGACCAATAATATCAAATACACTAAGAAAAAGATTTAATAAACTCTCGAAATAGTTTTTAAAAAATTCAAAAACCAGAACAACCTGAATACAAATGATTTGCAAAACCATTTCCAGATAGAACAATCTCTTTTTTATAAGTAAGTTAAATCTTTGCAGCAGTCAAGCAAATACACTGAGCAGAAGCAAAAAAACAATTGATTTTATTCAAATTGTTTATTCTCCAAACAACCCAATATGGTCAAACACACTAAGGATTGATTGTATAATAATTCAACCAAACAAATTGAAAAAAAATAGTTAAACATGAATTCAGAAAACTAAGTCTTTTTTTTCAATCACAGAAAGTTACTTGACCCTGAAGGACCAGTATCACCCTCATCAGAAGAAGATCAAAATAACAAAAATATACAATAATCATTTACACACTTCGTAGCACTCAATCCAGTACCACAATGTTATATTTATAATGCTACCATGTTTTTTGAACAATGATTATCAAAGTTTGGATAACCCGACTTAATCACAAACAGCGGAACATACTTTTTTTAAATCGAGAAACAATTACTTTATGCCTATTTATTCTTTTTAAGACCAGATCTCATGCTTCTTATGTTTTATGTCGTCGGCAGATATTTACAAAAATCTTAAGAATTGTCACAGAGTGTAAAATAATTTTCCAATGCCTACAACTTACAAATTACTCCAAAAATAGGCTTATCACCATGTGAACATTTTTTATGTCAAACACCAAAACAAAATATAACATAAATTTTTACACAAAATCCTACAGAAATTCAAAAAGTAATCTAAATATTACAAACAGACGAACACATGCATGATAACATCGCCCATTTTTTAAAAAATTTGCTTCAGTCTGTTATAGTTTTTGTAAATAAAATGAAAAAAACGTTCAGTTTTTTCTCAGCACAAACTCAAAACAAAAATTGAGACAACTATTAGCCGCTTATTAAAAAAAAGTTTCAGTAAAAAAGCCTAAAGACAAGACCTACCTATAAAGCCCAGCCTTTATCAACAATTCTTATCAACAGTTTCACCCTTTCCTGGCAAAACTTTCCTGTATGTTAAGCCTAAATTGCTTTCGTTTCAGCGAATGATCTGATAACATAACAAATTCGCGCATTGACCCAAACATGAAAAAGTGTCAAAAGCAAATCATAAACAATAAACTTTGACCGTGAGTATTGTTCTAGAATTCCACGGTTACATGAGTGTCTCCTGCTTGTTTTTTCACTCAATAAGTCTGGTCATTACTGTAATCAAAGAACCTAATAAAAAACTTGTGATTCTTCTTGCAAATTTTGAAAAAGAAAATGTTTTTGAAGTCTACGCAGTCTACAAACCGACAGCTACAAATCATCCAATTTGGTGACTTTTTCTTTTGGTTATATTTCGCACATAAAAAAGCCATTAGCTTTGCGTGATTTGGCGTGGTTTTTGAGACCCAACCTAATTTTGTTTTAAGTCAATTATTGACTCCTAGAAAAAACAAAAATTATAAAATCAAAAATTTCACATATTTTAATAAAACTTAATGCTTTACTGTTTTTTTGCGAGGATAAGCCATTAAATTACGAATGATGCGTTTCAATATTTGTTAAAGAAAGTGAAATGCATTAAATGTTTAGAAAATTCGTGATGCTCTTAATTGTTCCGACTTTCGATACGAAAGTAACGGAATTTTTTTGCTCGGGCTGAGTTTTTTTTCTTCAGACAAACTTCGACTTTTTAACTAGCCATTTTTGACAG